GTAGTAGTAGTAGTAGTAGTAGTAGTAGTAGTAGTAGTAGTAGTAGTGCATACAAGTAGATCAGTAGATCACGTACTTCATAGACGCGCCCTCTTACTCTTGGTTTTTGACAGTGATACCGACCCAAGTATGGTCTGAACTGTCACCATGTTCTAAGTTCTACCCATCCTTCGTGCCTGTCACAAGGTTTCAATCATCAGATTCATCAATCCAGCCTTGCACCGGATTGCTCATGCGCAGCTAGTTAAAGCAAGGGGCCTGCCAAGCCCCAATGGAACCCAAACCGCTTCCTTCCCACGCAAACCGTATGAACTGAGCGACCACCAGCGCCTTCAGCTGATTCGCGGGTGGAAACAAACAGGGCACCCTGACAGGTTGCAGGTGACAGCAGCAACCAACAGTTCTTCATTTTTGAGATGGTTTGCAACACTGTATGGGCTGGCACAATTCAGCTTGCTTGGCTCTCTCATACCTCGTGGTGCCTCATTCCAGAAAACTTAACCCTTGAGGCACTTGGGGTGAATTGCGGTACCCCTTTTCTTTGTTCCGCTTTTCTCCAACTTACCTTTTTTTTCCATCTCTCTATCTTTGTCTTTCTATCTAGCTCTCTCTTCTTCTAGATTACCGACCCGCTCAGTACCCCATTTTCGTGTTGCTCCCTCTCCTCGACGGATCCGTCTGTAGGAATGAGCACTTGGTTCTCGAAAAACCGAACCAACGTGCTAGGTTCTCACAACAAAAAAGGAACGCGCGCCAATGCCGGGGGCATTGAAGAGTTCATTGGACTAGGCCTAGGCTCACTGAAGCAAGGGACAATCCTCCGATTGGATGCTCCCCCCGCGCAGTGGGCTTCGTAGACAGTGTGGTGAAAGACCAGGGTAAGTTTGTGAACAAAGAACATTTCGGTAGAAATGGAACGGCACCGCGCGCGCGGCAGTCTTTTTTTGGGGCGGATCCGAAGGCATAGGCAAACCGATGGGTGTCGAGACGGATAGGTTGTAGTTCAGCTGCTTTTGCGACTGTACTGGCTGAACCGGGCAGGCAGCAGGCACAGTTCAACTGCTGCAACTGGGGCCTGGCAAAGCAAAAAGGCAGCGTTCGGCACAGTTCGATCGAACTGTACTCAGCGTTCGGCACAATAGCCCTTTCCAAACCTGGAACGAGCTGTGCCTTCTCCTTCGGGTCAGGGTCAGGATTTCCCAGATCCGACCAAACACGTTCCAGCGCTTAAAAGCAATCAGCGGTGATGCCCTGACATCGGAGGCTTTGCAGTTGTGGGAGGTCCAAAGGCTGCAAACTTTGAGTGAAACGATGGCCAAAGGTGAGGCTTTGAAGGCTGCTAGGAAGAAGAACTCCCTCCAGACCTCAGCGGCGGTCATGATGTTCAGGAGATGTCGTGGCATGCAAAATGTTTTTTACAACATGTTCTCTGATGGCTGTGTTCTGTCCTATCATTGGTCACCCCAGTAGCAATTCAACTGACTTGGACCTTTCAAACACTTCAACTATGTGTCGCCAAAGCTCCCAGACAGAATCTCAATTCATTTGTTAAATGCAAAGGGAACTGGAGCAAGAAAAGGAGCAGGAACTGGGGTCCAGGAGCTGGGGAGCAGGAAGGAGCTGCAAACATGTTATTCCCAGCATGTTGCTAGGTATGGACAAACACCTGCTGCACTGCTGATCCTACCCAGCAATTTGTCGGAGGATTGCCTGTAGCTCCTTGGCCCCTGTTCAATGGGGAAAGCGAGAAGTGGCCAGTATGGACACGCCGGCCCCTTAGTCAGGATTAGAAAATCGGCTTCGCAGTGCTTCGTGCAGTAGCGGAGAGAGGAGGCACACTACAAGTGCGAAAGCTGTTGAGGCTGCAGAATCGTTCTGCTATAGGTACATGCAACTGCTTGTGGCCTTGCTCAAACAGAATACGTTGCAACGCAACAAATGCAAGCACGTGCAACAAGTCGCCGGCATACAAAGGCGCGTTGCTGAGAGGTCGATGTCCGATCACAAAGCCTGTTAAGCATCCAGGCTTCCAACGTGGAAGCCTGGAAGAAAAAGCGCCTGACCGAATAGCCGCCGGTTCCTTGGCGGATGTACCAACCAGCACCCAGGGTTCCGACAATGGCGGATGTACCAGCACCCAGGTTTCCAATCTAAAGTGGAATTCTGGTTTGAACAATGTACCACTTGTGACGTCAAGGCAGCCCTCGCCAGTGTCTAGTCTTTCATCCTCTCTCCCAGTGTCTCAGCGCCACCAAGGAAACTTCTCAGTCCTTCCTGTATTTGGATGTATGGATTTTGCCCCCACCTGACAGCACCGGGTTGCAAGGGTAATGCGGCAGTCTGAACATAGCACCCAACAGCACCCAAGGTTCCAAGGTTGCAGGGCGGCACCTTACAGGGCATTCTGAACATAGCACCTGACAACACCTGACGGTGGCAAGCACTTGGTGCGTTAAACACACTCGGGCGCTGGCTGTACCACACGTACTGTACCACTCCCAGCCCGAGGTTGAAGCGCATTCTGCTGTTGGGAACCAGCAAAATATAGCAAAAAACATGGCAAACAACTCCATAACCTCTGTTGCTTCTTAACCGAGTGGTGGACAAACATCTCTGGCCAAAGTCAGGGTTGGGCCCCTTACTCGAACCCAATGGAGGGGGCTATCGATTACTACTTGTAACAAGAAGCTACTAGTAGCGATGCATCTTGTTACTAGTAGCGATGGCCTCCAACCTAATAGCGATGGCCTCCACCTCGTAGCTTCTTGTTGAGCTTAATTAACACACATGACCCAACTTTCTCTCCCTGGTACCACTTTTGCCCAGGCGGCTGTGAGAGAAGGAGCCGCCCAGGGTCAAGCTTAAAAGACCACTCGGCAACGTCACGTTTTGAAATGGTTGGTCGAAACCTGGGCCAGGACGACCGACGGAGCAAGTGTTGGACGGGTTTTGCATGGCCAAGATGTTTGGGATGGTTCTACGGTTCCCTCCATGCACTGGGATGCAAAGTATCCTCAGTGGTTGCAAGGCTTCAGAATCCAAAGTCCTTAAATGTTGCGTATCAGTTCAATCTGAGCCAATGCTTCAAAATCAAGACCCTGTGTCTCAAGTACGCTGTCAAAAATAGTCAACGGCTTGGACATGTCAAGATATTCAGACACCGGGTGGTGCGCACCACAAGAAACAATCCGAGAATGAGAATGCCAAGATATGCCAAGAATACAACATTGTACAACATGTTTAACCTTTCTTGGCTCTGGCCTTGAGGCCTTTACTTACTGCATGGTATTGGAGTGTTTCTCAGTGAAACAGCTGCAGACTTGGTTGGTACTGCCTACCATTTATGTATACTGTATACCTATGCAGGGAGGTGCTTCCTAACCTGTTTGCCACACAAAGAAAAAAAACAAACAGAACACCCACAAACCCTTTGCAGCGTAGGTCCAGGTGACGTGTTCCTAGGGTCAAGACCTCAAGGCTCTCAGGAAAATGCACGTCATCCAATGCCTGATCGAAGTTGTATCCAAAGGTCAAGCTGCGAAGTCCTGAAAAAGACATAGCATTGCAGCATGTTCACTCCAAGTGAGATTCACTCACTCTTTTTGGCACAAATACATATGCATGGACAACACCTAACCCAGAAAAGAGTGTTGCAAACGGGCAATTGGGCCATTTTGGGGTTCGTGAAAGGGCACCTTTTTCCCAATTGAATTTGTCAGGTGTGGGCCATTGGACTTACATCATCTGTCTCCAAACCTCACCTCACTTTCGATCCCTGTTTCGCTGGCTCCTCACCTCACTTTACTGCGAGCCTCGAGAAAAAGGCCTCCAGTCTTGAGAGTTGGATGCCAAAACCACCTGCTAGTCGGCTAGTTCTGTCATAGTCATGGCTGCAGTCGGGCCCAAAAGTCGATCCCTCAGTCCCTCGGTCCTTCGGAGAACACCGTGGATGCCAAACTCTGATCAAAGTTGTGTCCGAACGTCAAGGATTGCAGCTTTCGAGGAAGCCTCAGCTGATCTGCCGATCTACGTCCCACGACGGGTTTTCGTACCGAGGATCATGTTTTTTTTTAGACGGTCGTGCGACGAAGAGACCGCCCGGGCGAGAGTCAGTCGTTCATGACACCATGACAAGTAGGACATCCTGGATTTCTGGCCATCTGTCCGTTCAATCCTGCAAACACGGTTAGAGTCACGCCCCAGCGGCTGGACACGCTCCAGGCTTTGGTTGAAGTCATGCCCGAAGGAGATGCTCTGCAAGGTGTGTGGAAAGCTCACGGCCTCCAAGCTTTGGTCAAAGCTATATCCAAAGCTCAAAACCTGAAGATCTTTGGGAAGCTGAAGCAATGCTTGGTTGAAGTGATATCCCAAGGTCAAGCTTTGAAGCGCTGCGGGGAGCTTCATATCCTCCAAGCTCTGATTGAAACTGAAGCCTGAGCTGAGCGCCCGGAAAAAAGCTCATTCCACTGAACTTTGATGGTAGAAAAAAAGGCGTTGTCAGGCCACGCCCGCAAGACACCCAAGCAACTGTTCAACAGCGTTGTTTCCAAAAAAATAGATAGCTTTGGGCCCTGTCAATGGAAATGGGTCACCATGAATATCATAATCAAACATCCCGAACCGCAGGTGTGGAGCATCAAGGAACCGATTGACCATTCACATGCATCGGCATGAGCACCTGGAAGTTTTAAAGGTCAGTTAATCTAATACAATTGTATATATTTATATATAATATTTTATATTATATATTAAACACTATAATATATATATACAGTATATGTATCCTTGCTGTTTGGATCCGCTTCGGTATCGACACACATCAACAGCGTTTGCAGGGCAGAATCCGGATGCCCTGTGTTCCCACGTCGTGTTTAGACACTGCTTTGCTCAACCCTGGATAATTGTTGTCAATTCCAAGCAGCCAAAGGTGAGATGTTGTAACTGATGTGGAAACCTCAAGCCTTTCCTCGGTTGTACAAGCAAAAACTGCAACCCCTTTTCTGCACGATTCATGCGAAATGTGCCATCGTCCACCATGACAAAGTCCCTCCAACTGTCTCCAATTAGAAGGCTTCCCAGAGAGGATCTGGGCGTTTCGTTTTGGAATCCTGTTTCCATCCACGAGGACATATCGTCACTGACAAAAGTCACCGCACTCAGAGTCCAGGCAAAGATTCAATGTCTCCTCCGCGGTGGGTTTCAAGGTCAACCGCTGCAGGCCTGTGGGAAGGTCGACATCTTGCCTTGGAAGCGACATCTTCTGCCAGCCCAGACTGGGCTCTGTGGATCAAAACCATGGAGAGGAGCTTCAGTTGAGCCCAGTCTGCGAAGGAAGGGTGGCATCAAGGCACATTTGGGCGTAAACGGATATGGACAAATGAGCACTTCTGACTCAATTCCACTGGGTTTGGTTTCTGAGGGTTGTTGGTCTCAAGTTGTTTGGCGCCCAACAGAAATTCCAAACGTCGCGGTTATTTTCGGAGCCATGACCATGAGTGAGATTTGATCCCTCTATCGAGTGCAGTTGTCACCTACAACATTGACTGTGGAATCAGAATCTATGATTTTGTTTTAGCATGTCAAAAGCTCCCGACTAGACATGTAACGAAAAATGTCCTGAATGGCAATTGTTGTTGTTGTTGTCGTTGTTGTTGTTGTTGTTGTTGTTGTTGTTTTGAATGTATCTCTGACCCGACATTCACAAACAATTGCCCGTTGATGATGTGCTGCCAAGAAATCAACAAACGTCGGATGCCTTGATGAGAACGAAACCAGAACATGAGATCAAGTGATCCATCCTTACCTGCCAATTGACTGTCACATCTCCAAGTTGCAAGAGATGATCCAATGGTCCTCTCAGCGTCAAGCTCTGCAAGCCTTGAGGCAAAACACCCTCCAAGCTGCGGCAAAAACCCTCTTCCAGAGTCAAACTCTCCAAGCTTTCCGGAAGCACCTCGGCCACAAACAAGGCTTACGTTTGACGTTTGCCCAAAAAAATCCTGGAGCCTTTCCACATGAACACAAATACCACACCTTTTGAAATTAGTCCGTGCCCGATAAAAACAACAAACAGGAGAACAAACCACAAACAAAACGAACACGCGACAACGCAGAACCTTTTTGGGTGCGCTTCAAGTACCAAACGGATCCAAACGGCAATTTAGAGGAAAATGCCCAAACAAAAAAAAACAAACACGGTGTCAACGGTGTTATGGGCTGCTGCTTTTTTGCGTGTGTGTGTGTGACTGACACATCCCGTCTCAAGAGGATTCACCATACACGCTCTCTGATTAATTCAGTTCTGTTCATTACAGACAAATCGCAGGGAAGTAGTGATCCATTCAGCAGTCACTGCCTAACAAAGACGCTGCTGTTTGGATGTGATATCCAGAGAGGATGCTCTCTGAACGTACCTGCATTCCAACTGGTGATGCAAAAAGGTTGCCTGTTGTTCCCTTTCGCAGGTCTGTTGCCAGGTTTGAGGTCGTCCTTGCACTATACTGGGCGGGTAATGCAAAAACTAGATCGTAAGTCAGTGTTCATGCACCTTTGGTACTACCCTGAATTGTGTTCTTACGAGCTCTTTCTCAAGTGTCTGTGTGTGTGTTTGTTCTTCTTTTCCGACAATGTACTGCTGTAACATTGTATTATATGACCACAGAACATCATGACGTTCGGTGTTTACTGGGGAGGGTGGGGTTTGGGGGGTTAGGTGGGGTTACTGGATCTTCAACGTGAACATTAGATCTGTGTTTCATGAATTTAATATTCATCTTCGCTTCACGTACTCCATCTTCTGGAATTCCAACATGTGCATGTCACAAGGGGAACTGCATGGTGCTGACTTAAATGTCAGCTTCATTTTTGCTTCATGAACTTCGTCTTCACTTTTGCTTCACGAACTTCATGTTCATATTTGTTTCGCGAACCATGAAGGCGGTTCCGAAGAAATGCTGAAAGCAGGGGGGATACGGGATACTTGAGGGTCAAAATGTCCGTTTGAAGAAAATTGTGCTGCGATTGCTGTGCAACAAGTTTGCATTTTTGTTGCGTTCCGTGAAAACTGGTATGTCATTACGGTGAAAACGACGGCGAAAATGACACATGTGTCGACCCTCGAAAGCCATCCACAAAATCATGATTCCGCCTTTACCACGTGGATTTCAGAACTTCGAGTATAGAAAACTAGAATCAACAAACAACCAAGAACGGTTAATATGTATATAATTGTATATAAAGAACCAAGAACGGTTAATATGCAAAGAACCAACACTAATTGAAGACAAATACCTGTCGCAACCAACAGGAAACAATCAATTTTATATCCAAGAGAACAAGGATATATTGAAAGGTAAAGGCAAAATGACAAAGACCACAGAAAAGAACTAAAGAACTTCAAAAGGGAAAGAAACTTACTCTAAGGGCAAAAGGAAAAACACAAATGAATTACTAGTTACTAGACGGAAATGGACGGAACAAAAACACAGACTGACGATAGTGTTGTGACAGCCCAAGCTCTTAGGACTCGACAAACGCTATTACATGCTATTACTATTCTTGCAGGTGTTCATGTAATTTTATATTGCCAACAACCATCAGAATGCAGCTGGGAACGGACTTGGACCCTGATGAATAAAAGTCGATTCAAATCCATGTCCAAACGTGTGTCCCAAAACATACCTTCCACAAACACCATACCAAAATCCATATCCAAATCAGTATAAACATGTCATACCATAAAATCATATCATAAAACATATATATATATATCACATTGCCATATAAAGCATCCTGAAACAAAATATATATACAAACATATTAACTATGTTGAAAACAATTGAACCTAAGGACTTAGAGGTCACAATCAAAGGGAGGAATCATATCAAAATGAAAAGAACAAGGAGGCCAACGGCCAGGAATGTCCAACGTCATCATGAGCCGCAAGCCAACAAACCGAGGAAAAGCGAAAGACAAAAACAAACGCTGCCCAAATAAAAACAAAACGGTAGCCAAATTATATAATCATAGCTTAAACTTAATCATAACTTGTCATGAATGTGGTTGATATTCACCCTATATACACTCGGCTTCTACCTTCCAGGAAGCTCTGGTGGAACTTTCTAACCTCTGAGGGGTCCCTCCTTACTTTCGCAAGCCCAACAGGGCGGGTTATATGAAGAGCTTCCTGTTCATAAGAGTCTTGGAGGTTTCAGGGGCCCCTTTGATTCGTTGTCTGCAACCCTCTCCTGGTAGAAGGAGTGCTCATTACCAACTGTGTTTTCCAATGTTTTTGAACTGGTGAGGGCATCTTGTTTCAATGCTTCTGATAAAACTAAAACAAAAAACACCAACAGTTTCAAGGCTGGTGAGTAAGGAAGCAGTCTGGCCAATGACACTTCGTTCACAACAAGAGATTGGTTGCCAGGGTCCCAAAACTATAAACCCGCCCCTCACCGTCTCCGGCTCTCCGGCTAGCTCCCGCAGGAGCTGCACCGCTCTCTCCCGGCGCCTCCCGCAGATCCTGGTTGAAGGAGCTTCCAAAGGACAAGTGCCGCAATGACTTGGGGAGCTTTGGCAGACGGTGGTTGAACTTCTGCCCAAAGTTCAACCTCACCGAGATCTTTAAGTGAAACATGGAATCCCAACTTGGGTACACCGGGGACGGGTTTGGTTGTTTAACTAGGGCATTGCTGGACTCAACTCAAGTAATTAGTTAATTTAGTTTAGTTTGCTGTCTGCAAGTTCAGCTTTGCCCAGGATGGCGGCACGTCTGACACGGCTTCTGACTTGACGGGTCTTGACAGTTTTCCCATCAAAAGGTATCCCTCTCGGATGAACGGAAATGCAAGCTCCACCTGTCACTCCGCCCCCAAAAATCACCTTCACAGTGGTTCTTGATGCTGCAAGCTGCAAGGAGGCATAGACAGTGCAGACCCACCATGTCGCGTTTCGCGGATTTTAACCTTTGGTCTTGGCATGTCTTGACCTTTCTCATGGTCCCATTCTCAATTTCATGGTCCCATGCAGCCAACTGTGATGGCCTCTGTGTCTGGCATGGCCTCTAATGCCCCTGGCATGCCGGTCGCCTCCCAACAGTTGACGGTCAACTCCTGCCGCAGGCAGCTCCGGCCATCCAAGTGACGTTTGAAGCCCCGAGGCCGTGGATTCCAGCGGTTCCAAGGGTTGGTCGAAGTCACGGCCCAAGCTCAAGGATTCCAGCAGCTCACCTCAAGGGCGAATAAAGATACGATCCGAAATACGCCCTGGAATCATCATGAAAGTCGATGGCATGGCCCCTTGGACGTTTCCAAATACAAACAGGTGGTTGTCCATTTCCATGATGATTCCAGGGAGCGTAATACGCACTTGATACATCTATTATAGAACCCATGTCCTTGGTGGTCCACCCAATAAAGGAGTCACATTGGATTCTACATTACATAGCCATGACTGGCAACATCATCAAACAACATCTAACAACTAGGGCATTTCTGAAGTGTCTTTGACCGAGCGTTGTTGACCACCCTGTGGATTATCTAGAACTATAAATTTAAAGAGCTGTAATGAGCTGTAGGAGGATCTTGCTGTCTTGAGGTGCCTGGACATTCCAACAAAACGTACAAAGATGCCAACCCCTCTGTCACGATGTCCGGGAAGAAAGCAGGGAGGACTATGAACTGATGTGTTTCCGATGTGACCTCTGGTCCGGTCTCCTTGAACCACCACAATGGAATGCTCAAACAGACTTCCTTTACATGACTGGTCTCTGGGGTCCGCTCGAGCCAGCCCGCCTAGCCGTGGCAAAGGTTGGTTGAAATCACGTCCAAAAACCAGGTGTCGCAGTCCACGAGGCAGCTTCACATCCTCCTGCATCGCGGATGCTACTCCTACTCTAGCGCCCCGGACAATGACATGAACGTGTTGAAAGTTAGAAGTGTGAATGGAAACATGTACAAATGAGAAATAATGAGAACATGTCACTTTGGCCAGTGGGAACCTGCTTGCGAGTCATGGAGAACATCTATGCTTGCGCATGCTTGTAGGAACCAAATGAGGATGCTCATGGCTGAAGGAACCAAAGGGGGCCGGCCCAAACCCATAGATTTTACCACATTTTGTCCAATGCTCACTGACATCACATGACACTGGATGCTGGATTGGCTTGATTTGTTCGGTTTGTTCGTGTTTGATGGCACAGCACCATGCAGCAATGCTGCAATGCTGGATTAGACCCTCGGACGTCGGCCGACGATGGGCTGACCATGGTGTCTGCAAGCGAAGAGAGATAACACCAAACGTTGAAGATGCAAAGGAGGGAGCCTTTGGAAGGTACCTTGTTGCATTTATTTATTTGCGGAGGCATGTATTTTCATGTCGTGTGTACGCGTACACCCGACACCATTCAACAAACTTACACTATAGACATGCGCCAATCAGCCCCAATGCCTTAAAACCCTTAGTCTTATATAGGGCGTGCGCTGTCGCGTGTGCTGTCCATCTTCTGATTGAAGCCATTGCCCAAGGTCAAGTCGTTCAAGCTGGGGAACGTCACTGCGGCCAAGTCGTGGTTAAAGGAAGATCCAAAGGTCATTTCTTCAAGACCTGCAGGGAGATCTACAGCCTCAGAGATGGTCGCACCAGGTGCACATCGCAGTGCGTCCCAAAAAAGCCACCCCGAGGCCCGAGAAGAGACATTGATGAGTGATAAGTTCACTGTGGTGGAGGATCTCCTGAACCATGGTTTTACACTCTGACGAACACATGGAAGTGGAACATGACCCCTTTTCCAGAGTAGTTTCCTTTACGAAACAGGAGTTGTTGTCCACTTCCTTTTGCAGAATTCGTCCCAAGAGACCTGGGATGTGTCGGAACATGGTGTGCAGTCTGATTGGTGCTAAGCATGTGTGCAAACCCCAGTATTTCTGACAATCCTGAGTGTTTGGCTACTGCGCGACCCAGATCCATCTGAACAATTAATCAATGACCAAAACCTATCAAACACAATCAAGTATATAAGCAGTAATCAAGGGCAACCCCAACTTAATTGCCCCCATTCAGACCATTCATCTATGCATCCTCTATAGCGCATGCACAATTTTAAGTCTCTAGCTATCCAGCAGGTTCCGTAAGCATCTAAACGGTATGTGAGCAGGTTGTTGTGCAGCCAGCATCCCCTCAGAGCAGTTTGCTGTTGATTCCATTTTTAGCGATGTGGAATGTAAAAAGGAGCTCTAAAAAGACAATGGTCAGTGTTTTGCTAGGGTTCTTCCCATCTGGGTCCCTTAC